ACTCAAGGCATCTATTGCAGCTTTTCCAGCCTCCATGACATTCCTGTTACCAGGATGGAGCACCAACATGTTATTTCCAGGACGTGGGACTGCATGCAGAGATGCTGTTTTGGGATGGATAACCCTTGTTTCAGCTTCCATGGCCAACACACGCTGATTTTCCTGCCCCATTTTGGCCCATTTTCCATCCCATGGGAACAAGCCCGCTCGGTGGGACAGGCAGAAGGACCCAAGTCATCTCCTCTAACTCCAATCCCATTGCCCCTCATGGCACRGGCCCTTGGGCAAACCGGCAGCACCCCGATAACGTGGGGAGCATCTCGGAACCGGTGGCTGCCAAGGAAGGGAAGGAGGAACACTGGCAAATGACAGAGCCCTTATCTTAATTACAGGCTTATTTGCATTTAAATGAAGGTTATTCTATAATTACCACCAAATGTTTTGTGTTGCAGCTGAAATACCTCTCCATGGGCTGTCAAGCGCCTTCCCATTTCCATTTTCTCTCGCCATTCTTCTGCTTTCTAATCAGCTGGCACACGTGCAGAGGCCTTTGCATTGCATCCCGCCTTGGTTTGGGGTATGGGGACCACCACTGCAAACAGCCCACCCATTAGAGAGAGGACAGACACAGCGCTCTGCTGTTCCCCACCAAACACTGGGAAATTTGGGCACGTTTGAGCTTTTTTGGGGGCACATTTGAGGTGCATTTTTGCAGCTTTAGCCACTTCGGTGCAAAAAGCAAAGCAGGTTTTGGATGCCCCTCCACCGCAAGTTGGCTTGGTGGACATATTGCAGAAGGTGCAAGGTCTTCTCCAGCCTTCCCATCACAGGCAGCTCTTCTCRGCGGCTGCTGCAGATAGGATGGGGGCAAAGCAAAAGGCAGGGAGAGATCTGGGAGAGCAAAAAGGCTCCTGCAGAGAAAACACCACCCAATTACACCCTTCAAACCAACCACGGTGAAGATACCCATGCAAATAGCCAAATTAAGGCTGAATGAGAAGCCTTCTGCTCTTCCCTAAATTGCTCTACCTTTAATCAAGCTCTTTTAACAATCTCTCATGAACGTTTTCTCTCTCCAGCCAGGAGAGCCACATTAACCAAGCAGCCCATATGGGGACGAGCGAGATGGCAGCTATTAGAGCCGCAGCAGAGTCTCCCGTTTATGGAGCTGCCGGTAATGAAAATAGACGGTTACTTCCCACCAGCCCCATCCTTCCTCTTTGCTCCTACCCAATCCCAGCCTCCAATCCCCCTGCCAAACTCCAAGGCTCTGCCTCCATCTCATGGAGAGACCGGATCTCTTCAGCACCGCTGAAACTTATTTTTTTCTTAAGTGCAAAAAAAAAAAATCAGAAATCCTTCTTCCCCAATTTCACATAGCCCGAGGCAAACCTACAGCATGGAAATTTTTAGCCTGAACAATTATCACTTGGCAGAGCATTAACTCCCTGGGAAGAGGACCCTCCAAGAGGCACTTTGGTTACGAGCAACTTTGCCAGCTCCATCCCTCTAGGCAGATACCCCCTCCAGCCCATTTTACATCCACGGGCRTTTAATAAGCAGCAGCACAGCCAATTATTATTTTTATCAGCAGTGGCGGGTGCTGGAAGGGACCTGTTGGGAGACCAACACATCCCGCTATGCAGGGCATGAAGGAGACCTCAGGTTTGGGGTGTTTGGAGACCCAGGATTTGCATTTCAGCCTCCGCTTTATAAACACCCGTGTGCACACAGAAAACAACCTGCTCGCCTGGCACGAGTCCATGAGCTCTCACAGGTCCTCTGTGTTTTATAATGTTTTATAAAGCTCCCCCCATCAGCTGTCAGGGGATTTCAGGACAAAAACGCATCTCCGAGTGTCTAATCTAGTTCAGAATCTCTTCCCAATCTTCCCTCCGCTGGAAGGAGGAGAGGGAAGAAATAAGAAAAAAAGAGCAAGAAACCGAGCGTGTTTCTTGCTTCTCCATCTCGCTCCCCTCTGCCTTCAAGTGCTCCTTGGAGTATCTCCGCGGAATCATGTTTATATGCAGTGAGTGCTGTTGTTAGTTAATAACATCGCGAGCGTTGAACCTCCCTAATGAAAGAGAGAGACAACATAACCCGGCACCTCAAACAAACACGCAATCAGGCTACCGGCGGCGCCGAAAAAAAACACATCTTCCCGATTTCACGGGTTTCACGCGGGAAATGGGCCGCTTTGCCGGCGAATCCGGGGCGCCGCTCCTCGCGCGGAGCCTTCGGGAGCAGCGGGGACCCATTAGAGCCATGAAATCGGCAGGGCTCTGCGGCAGGAATTGCCGGAGCAGCTGGAGCTGAGGAGGACAAAGAAGAGCTGAGATTATATCTCCGTTCAACGCGCCCGGCAAGTTGTAATTAGGCTGTGGAGAGCCCCGGTTTTCATAGAGGAGCCTTTCCATGCAATTAGATGTGGATTTGTCCCGCAGCATCGGCCTCCAGGTCCTGGCTATCCGGGGGCACAAAGTGAGGGATCTGGATCCAACATGTCCCTTGGGAGGCGAATCCGGAATGGATTTGCCTGGCGGACCTCCTCCCCATCCCAAGGGAATAAAAACACCGCTCGGATCTGCCCGGACAAGCCCCTAATTCCATCGCACGCCAGGCGGGTTGTAGGGAATTAAATCCCTGCCCCTGACTCGACAGCCTATTTTTGCTGCAGCGCATCCCAAGGGATCCGCAACGGGAGCAAGGAGCTTCCACCCGCACCAATGCATCACCCGGCCTTGACCCTACACATCTACACGGGCCGCAGCAGTAAAAATTCATTGATTTAAATTGGCAGTGCCCTTTTGGAAGCCGCCGCCGTGGCTCTGATCCGCAGATAGGAGCAAAGGACATTTGGAGCATTTTAATGCACTTTTTTTTTTACTGCATTATCTCTCCCCATGAGCCGAGCAGCTTCATGAAGACGACGCACGTGGCCAGCAGCAGAGCCGGGCGTAATTAACGGCCTGGCAACTCCGTAATGATCCTTCCTACATAAAAAGGTCTTCCCCGTCCCATGAACAGACTCCGAGTAATTTATTGCAACCCATATAAAGATGAGACTGCTTTGACCTTGGGGATTTACTCTAAATTTTTTCCCATTTTTTTTCTTTCTTTCCAGCAACCGTAATTGCTAAAAAAGATATTAAGTGATAGCAGTTGAAAGAAATCATTTTTAAAGGTGAAGCAAAAAGACTAACACTAGGTTCCTTCCCTTCCTAAGATGTATTGCTCTAATCCTCAATACAGGGAAGCACATGGGGCTGGCAAACTGGGCAGGAGCGGCTCATTTTAGGTCCGGTCTGCTAGTTCATATTGCCGTTTACTCGTCCCATTTTACTCTATTTTGATGCCACCTCACCTGCCTGTCCTCATCCTGCTCTCCTCCAGTCCCCCCTTATTTCCTCGGGCTCCGACTTCAGTATTTCCCCATCCCCTGCATTTTCAGAGGAAGAAAAGCCATCAGGAGGAGGCGATTTAAGCCGGAGTGGAGTTCACTCTCTCAGGGCACCTTTCAAGGCCTTTGGAAGAGGCAGGAGGCACCTGGAACGGGGTCACATCACATGCTGCATCCCTTGTGCAGGACATCTAACACCACGCACCAGAGCGACGCGCAGGCTTTGAAGTACCCGAGGCTGTTTTGATTCCTCTCTGAGCTTTGGGGCTGCCTCACTTCCAGGGAAACACATGGAGAGAAGGAATAAATCCATCCCAGCATGGCTAAGTTGCTGCTCTGGCTGGAAAAGGCTGGGGTGGGACCATTTTTTTCCCCCAAAAAACTACATTTATCACAACTCAAACCCTTCACAGAAACACGGCCTTTTCTGCCAAAATCCCATTTCACAGAAGAGGGGAGAAAAACAAAAAAACCCACACCCAACAACTTCAAACCAACCTACTTTGACAGGTCTCTGAATTCAGCATTTGCATTCTTTGTTGGGAAATAACTTCAGCCTTGTTGTTTTCCCCCGTTGTTTTCTCTTACGCTTTGTCAAGCAAAACGCACGCCTAATGCAAAAACATGTTTCCATCCGAAATGCTTTAATTCCGTAGCAGGGCTTTGAAATTACTGTTTCCCTCCCATTGAAATACAAACAGCAAAAGAGAAAAGAGCCAAAATGCTCTGTGAAAGTTCCCACTCTTGATAGTCACCTTATCCACCAAGGAAAAACACTTGAAATATTCAAGAAGCCTCAACATGGCATCAAAATACGGATTCCTGCATCTCTGCCAGGCTAGGTTATATCTTATTAAGCATCACATGGGGTTAATATTTTATTAGAGTTAAGTTGTAACTAAACTCAAGAAGCGTATTTAAGAGAAACAAGGCAGCAAACAGCCAATACCCATCGCTGTGATCTCCAAGCACTTAAAATCCCAGGCAAAGTTATCAGACCCAGCACGAGCCCAAGAGCATCTCCCAGAAGAGCCTCCCAAAACCAATCTGGCTTCCTATTGACTATCAGATCACATCACTCCCCATCTCCTCCATAGCTCACATTAAAAAATTAAGTCCATAACTGCAGCGAAACGTCGACCCATTTCTTTTATAGCTCCTTGCCACAACCCGCTATATATCTCCATTATCACAGCGCTATCACCGACACACAATAGATCTGAGCGTGCGCCGTAAATAACCCTTGCCTATAACAAAGTTATGCTTAGAAGTACAGGCATAAATTAACGCGCAAGCCGTGGAGCTCTAAATAGTATTTTAAGGCCTTGTCAGAAGACAATTATGGAAAAATCTTCAAATCTGCTCAGATGCTTCAAAGCGTCGCCGCGTCTCAGTGGCCGGGGACAAAGACTGCACTGGGAACCATAGGGTTTAGTTGGGAGATGTTGGGGTGATTAAGCCCTCTGAAGGCCTCTAATTACCCACATCCTAGCATGGAAGCACGTGCGTCCCTTTGGAAGCCCTACAAGGATTTGGTGTTGGTATTTTGGCGATTCCAGGCAGGATGCGGGATGGGAAGCAACGGGAGTGATGCCGCGAGATGGGCTCTAACAGGAGCCCCTTGGAGCTCTACTCCGTCTCGGTTGCAACCCAAAAACACTACCAAAAAGTCTTATTTCAGACAAAAAGCTTCACCGAGATTAAACGCCTCTCTCAAGGTCATGGACAACTCCTGTGGAGAAATCAGGAGCATCCTTTAGATGTCTTCTCAGCTTGGGGAGCCGAGATGGGTCAGGACCACGTCACCAGCAGGCTGTGAAAATCTCACCTGCTTTCAGCTTAGGCGAGATACAAGCACAAAAAGGACCCAAGAGGCATTTCCCGAGGTCTCCAGCACTTCAGCACCTCGCGCTTTTATTGTCTGCACACCCCAGCCTTAAGAAACCAGCACTTCATTTCTCCAATTTTTATTAAAATGCTTCCACCTCCTGCACCAGCCATTTACATTTCCAGATGATTTCTTCAGCAGCCCTCCCTGCTGAGCAATAGCAGAAGCTCTTGGCTTTGCAAAACCCTCCGCACCCAGCTGGGCAAGACGCCTTTTATTGCTTGCACGGGTCGAGCAATTCCCCAAACATCATTTTACCTTCTGCAGGGGCTCTGCAAGGGACACATCCCCATCACATTCACCCCAACCAGCCCCAAAAACACCCTGTCACAGGGATGGCCACATCGGCTCCCGTTTTCCCTGGGCTTGCAGGAGCTTGCCGCAAACCCGAGAGCAGATGTGCTTTCCAGCTGGGTCTATATACCAACCACAGCAGGTTCATTAATAACAATTATTAAGTGCTTTATGTTACAAATTAGGCCTGCAGGAATACAAAGGAACCTCCAGCCGGCTGGTTTACGGGCTCTTGTCAGAGAGGACTGTAAATCCCCCTTATCGCCAGGCCATCGCCGCGGCAAAACGGACACGGGAGCTCGCCGTAAATAACACGTTAAAGCAACCAAGTCATCCCTGGGTGCGAGAAGATGGGTAGATGCAATGCCACGAAAAGCTTCAGTTTGTGGCTTTGATGCATCTAGCAGCACCCGGGTTTGGGGAGCTGCACAGGGTGCTAAGGGTGAAAGATTTAAGCTGGAAATAACCTAATTTCAGAGATCCCACCAGATGCATCTGCATCCAGGCACTTGCATCCCAGTCTGGATCCCAACCAGGGAGGGAGCTTCATCCATTGGAGCATCCAGTTCCTCCCACCCGCCATGAAAATTTTAATAAAATCGGTGCATCGCCTTTCAATTAGAAGGCCGTAAAACGGTTCATTTTCATCTGTTTGTTGCACAGTAACACGGATCCTCAGGAGGAAACGGCGCCTTCCGCAGACTGTCTGCAGCGCCGAGAACATTAATTGAATATTCTGCTGAAACCACCTTCAATTAGTGCCTCGAATTTCGGCATGACGTTCATCACCGCAGCTCGCGTGCAGCGCGTTCGGGGGGCTCGGCGATGCGCACGTCACATTAACTCGCAGCTTTATCCCCAAAATAACAGATCTATTTGCAAATGAGATGCTCGGGCAGAGGAACCTAGAGCTGCAAAAAGGCTGCATGGAGCAAGTTGGAGGGAGCCGAGATGCTGGGGGACATGGTGGCCAAAAGGGACTTTGGTCTTTCGCCAGAAGCATCAAGAAGGTTTCAAACCTCATGAGCATCTGGGTTGCCCAGAGGGACCTTTTTCTGCCGCGTCCTCACACAGCAGCTCATCCCCACTCATCCCAGCATCCAGCACAATCTTCCCATAAAACGATGCAAAAAAAAGTCGAGAAAACCATGGATTTCATCACAAATTTGGGATGCAACACCCCACAGCGTCACGAGTTGCACGTGCAAGGCATGATCAAGGCCACCAAACAGCACCTGTTTCCCCAACCCTAAGAGAAGGTTCTTAGGCTCCAGAGCGCCCTGCCACCTCCCAACAAGGTGACATTAATAAGCACGTCTTGCATCCTGTATTTTACAGGCAAAGCTGCCTGACAACAAACACCGTGTCAAGCGCGGAGCCCGGCGAGAGCTTTCTTTGCAACGATGCCAAAAGCTGTTTTTCCCCACCCAACAGCTTCATCACTCACATCACCCACCAGATGAAACGTGGTAGAGCAGGAGAGCAAAGCCTGAGCACGTGCCTAACTTCCAGACAGCTACCGTGGCATTTAAGACCCAACCAAGGGTTAAATCTCATTTCTTGCACATAAACCGTGAGGATCTGGGTTCTTTGGAGCTCGTTTTGCCTCTGCAAAGAGGCAGAAAATGCACCCTGGCTTCAAGAGCAACACAAACACAGCAGCAACCGGAGCCCTCGTGGAAAAACAATAAAACCCCCCAAAACAGCCCGCATTTTTTTTTTTTAATTGTTTCTTAACTTTCTATCTGCAGCTCTGCAAAGCACTCTAATATAATCAAGGTCCTCTGCACGGGGGATTAGCAGGCTTATATCCCGTGGATCCAATCAGGAAAGTCTATCAGCACAACATACTTATGTTGATACAGCTATTATAATCTGCATAATTCTCCTGAGTTCACATACTTAATGGATAGCAAACAGAGTCATTACTGCTGCAACTTGCATCCATAGGATCCCTACGAGCCATTCACTGCAGTGTTTTTTATTATTCATAGCTTTAGTTATTGATTTTCAGGAGAAGATACATGCTTTTAAGCACCATAAAAGCAGGAGAGGAAAACAAATAGCGCCATTCCAAGATTAATACGCTGCTCATAATAAAAGGGGGGCTGTCACATTGCCCAGCATAGAGCTGATGGAGCCTTGACAAATGCCACGCAAAATGGCTGGGTCGCTTAAGCAGCTTGTTAAATAATTTAAAGACAAGAGCCACTGGAAGCGGGAAAGTTCTTCCCCCCAATCCACGTTCCTGGATTGAGGCGCTACGAGGAGGTTAATCAATGTGGGACAGAATTGGGATGGGGTTAAATGCAGCCGGGCTGGAGGGTTTCGGGAGGGGACAGTGGGTTGTCTTCAATGGCGCTTGATGCAACCAGCTCTTCACTTGGCTTCCCATAATGTTCTCCCAGGTTGGAGAACCAGCTCTCCCAAAGAGAGGAGGGCCACACAAGGACATCCTTGACCACGTTGCACAACCAGAATCCGTGTCATAAGGCCCTTAATCAACACAGAGCATCACATCAAGGCATCTTCTACCACCACCAGCCTTGCACCCCTCAGGCAAATAGAGCAGTATCATCTCCAACATGAAGAGGTGATGCCCATTTTGGTCCATGATGCCAAAAAAAACAGGTCACCTCCCACTTGAATTAATAAATCCCCCCTTTTCCCCTTCTTACACAGGCCCTACTGCCAATGCACCTCAACACGATGCTCAGATACTCCTGCAAGGCAGCCAAGAGCCCCGTTTCAGAGCAGCAAGGGTGGATTTATTGGGCCCACCAACCACATCCAGCTAAGAGGCCTTCCCAAACGGAAAGGAGCACCGGGATGAAGCCGCTTGCTCCGATGGCTCCTCGTGCACCAGCCCAAGGAGAGGGATCGCACCCCAAGTCACTCATGATAGAAGGAGTAGAGCAACCTGCAAAGGGCTTTTTAAAGAAGTTGGGGGGTAAACACGGAAGAAGAACCCCCCTCCAAACCCTGGGAGCCACCAGCTCCAACACACAACACCGGGAAGCAATTCCCAAAGGATTCTTTTTTTTCCAGAAAAGCAACAAATTATACAACAAACAGCCGCCCAAGCGGGTGGGTTCGGGTGAAGACCCCTGCCTCGGCCATAGCCCCGGGCTCTGTCCCGCGCTGTCCCCGCCGCGGTGGCACCTACCCGGACCGAGCTCGGCGCCGCTCCGCGCTGCTCCGCGCGGCCCCCCACCCCGTTTTAAGCCCTCGGCCCCACGTGCGGCTCGCGAGCCCCAGCCCCGCGCGCGCGGGGACAGCGCAGGTGGCGGCGCTTTTGGCCGGAGGGGCCGTTAATTAACCCCTTGATTGGCATGCAAATGCGCGCGGTGCAAGCTTTTCAAAAAGCAGGTAGCTCAGGGGTGCAAAATGCTCTTGCTTGTGCACCAGCACAACGCAAGCTCCGTTTAACCTCCACACGGGAGCACTCATGCAAGCCTATAAACTCTTTTCGTTATAAATATGTGCAAAACAACTCAAAACGAGGATGCAAACTTATTTATTTTAATGAATGTGGATGTGCATTCGGGCCATCATGGTATAGGGAAGCGAACTCTAGCAGGCAGAAGCATTCAGGCTTCAAAGTTGCTTTCCTTTTGCCAGCATACAAAAAGAAAACAAAGGAAAGAAAAGGGGGAGGGAAAAGCCAAGCCCAAGCAGGAGGGGACCCTGGTGCGGGTGACAACGACCCCTCGTTAGGGGCTTTCGGAGCCGCCCCGCCGCCCGCTGCGCCTCGATCACTGCCTGGCGCCGGCACCAGGTGGCGGTGGCGGCCGGGCCCGCTGCCGGCCGCGGGGGCGGAGCAGGAAGCGGCGCAGGAAGCGGCAGCGACACCGGGACGGGGACCGGGACCGGGACGGGGATCAAGACCGAGACCGGGGGCCGGTTCGGGGGAGGGGGCGGCGGCTGCTGCTGCGCCGCGCTCGCCCGTCAGGGCGCGCCCTGGTGCGCGGGGGGCGCC